CTCACCACCACCTTCCAGATAAAATGCAAATCCAGTAACTTGATACACGCAGCCAAGAGTGGTATTCAAATTATTAAACAACCTGGACAGTTTTTCCTGAATATCACTGGGTACCAACCTAACAAAACAAACTCCGGCCACAGGGCTGGGGTAGGGTCCTCAAGGCCCCCTGCTGACATTAACTCTGTAGTTGCTGAATTGCAGGGAAGTCCAAGGGTCCTCCCCAGGGAGGTGGCAGGGTTGCCAGGGGCATCTCAGGGACTTGGGTCAGTAGCGATTTTCCAACCAATACAGAGGGATACACTATTTTAACAGCCAGCGCAGACCTACTGGGTGGACCTGTTGAATAGTAGCTCTGCACACAGCCCGTGTGAACCGGCCCCTCGCAAAGTGCCCCCCTCTCACCACTGCTCCAAATGCCCCCCCCACTTCGGGCCTCTCTGGCCAGAAATGCTGTTCTCTGTGGTGTCCTTTTTTTTTTTTTTTTTTTTTTTTTTTTTTTGTTGTGGGCTCTGTGGCCTCTCCCGTTGTGGAGCACAGGCTCCGGACGCGCAGTCCCAGCGGCCATGGCTCATGGGTCCAGCCGCTCCGCAGCATGTGGGATCCTCCTGGACTGGGGCACGAACCCCTGTCCCCTGCATCGGCAGGCGGACTCCCAACCACTGCGCCACCAGGGAAGCCCCTCTGTGGTGTCCTTTCTCACTCAAGTGTCATCCGAGGGCAGCCTTCCCTGGTCCCCGAGCATCTTGTTCTCCCACAGGGATCATAGAAGGCTCGGGGCATAATCACTGGTGGTCTCTTCCCTCTCCCTTTGCCCCCAGTTGCAGGGTCTCTTTGCCTTATTCGTTGCTGTCTCCACCATCCTAGTAAGAGAACCAGCACACAGTGGAGGATGGATAGAAATCTGTGCAATTGAGCAAAAGTGAACCTTGGGTTGGGCAGGGGGAACCTGTAGTCCATGGCTGGGGACAGAGCTACGCAGCAACACTGACTCGGTGGCACATTCTGTATAACAAACGACGACACACAGCACACAGAATGGTCTCCACACTGCGTTATTGTACACCCTTCCTGGTAAGCTTTGAGCATTGACTACACACACACACACACACACACACACACACACACACATATATATTTACAAATTTTATTCATGCCTACTAAACTATATGTGCATTAAAAAAAAGTAACATTTTGAACAAAGAAGTTCTAAACTTTTCCTTTCACATCTCAATGGGCCAGCTTGTGTATCCCACACTGGAGACCACTACTAAGGTACTGTGTGCCTCTCACACAGCTACTGACCCAAGTCCCTCAGATGCCCCGGGCAAACCTGGCACCTCCGTTGGGGGTGGGGGTGGGGGGGTGGAAACTCTTGGACTTCCCTGCAATTCAGAAACTAGAGAGTAAATGTCTGGCCCAGCAGGGGGCCTTGAGGACCCTACCCCAGCACTGTGGCTGGAGTTTGTTTTGTTAGGTTAGTGCCCAGTGATATTCAGGACAAACTGTGTAGGTTGTTTAACAATTTGAATACCACTCTTGGCTGTGTGTATGCATAGGTCCACACAGCAACCTTATCCTGGAGGCCCAACCTACACAAAATTCTAGGTTTCCACCAAAGCTCAGGTCAGATGCCAGAAGCAGATTATTAGTAAACCTGGAAGCTACCTAGACACCATATATTCTAACCTCTATTAAAAAAAATAGAAAGGAAAAACCCTGTCTATGGCAAATAAAGAAGAGCTAGAAGACCAAGGGACAGTGATACTCAAATGGCATTTCCCCCCCCCCAGGGAATATTTAGCAATGACAAGAGACATTTGTAATTGTCTCAAGTGGAGGTGTGTTACTGTCATCTAGTAGGTAGAGGCCAGGGATGCTGCCAACCATCTTATAAGGTGCAGGACAGTCCCCCACAACAAAGAATTATCTGGACCCCCAAAATTGAGAGTGTGCGGTTAGAAAACTTTGGTTTAGAAGAAGATCTAGAAGATCTGACTTGGTCCTGCCCAATTCTGCTATTTATGAGCTATGTGACCTTGAGCAAATCACTTCACTTCTACAAGCCTATTGTCACCTCTGCAAAGGATATGGATTCATTCATTCAGTCAACAGATATTCCTCAAGAAACGGGGTTATGGCAATGAACAATATCCAATCAAAGCCCAGAAAATAGTGAGAATAAGGAAATGAGTGTAAAAACCCCTTAATAATTTTGAATGCACTCAGCAGACCCAAGGCAGAAGCTCTGATGTGATCATACAAGGTAATATACAGGTGAGAGTGTTCGCTCAGTTCAATAGCACTAACTTTCTAGTTATTGTCTTTCACCTATTCTAAGATATACAGGGATTTCTTTTTCATATTTTAACATCTTTGAATTAAAGTGACTGGGCCTTACAGTTGCCATCAGCCAGGTGGAAGTCACACCATACTTGTCACTGACTATATGCTTTTCGCAAACTTGGTCAGTATTCCTGGGGGACTAAAACTCTTTGGCGATTCATTCAAGGAACCATTGAAAGATGGCTTAAGGAAGCAATGTGGGTCCCCGTGTTGTCTGAAACCTTTCCGCGGGCACCTCATGGCAGGACAAGAATGCACCAGAACTGATCTAGACGCTTGCAGATTCTTTAAACTTCCAGTTCTGGTTACACCCTTTGGAGATACCCAGGCAAACCAAATTCTGCTCAGCTAAGTCAGCGGTTCTCAACCCAGGCGGCACATTTTTTAAAAAGTAGCAAGTGTTTTTAAAATGCTGATACCTGGGCTCCAATCCAAATCAATTAAATAAGAATCTCCAGAGGTAGGCCCAAGCATCTGTATTTTTTAAAACCCCACCCCAGAAATTCTGATTTAATGCCCACTCAGAAAAGCCTTTCCTGACCACCCCCAAGGAACCGTCGCTTCCTTCTCCTCTCCTGATGCAGTGAATCCCAACTCTGGCAGTACATTAGAGGCAGTAGAAGACCACTGAAAATGCTCCTTGCCCTGGCTGCACCCCAGACCATTCACTCAGAACTTCTGGGCTAGGGCCAGGCATCAGTAATTGCTAAAGTTCTCCAGCTGAATCCAGTGCACAGCCAAGGGCAGGAACCACTGTCCTAACTCCTACTGCACGTGAAGTGCAAATGCCTGTCTCCTCGAAGAGGCTCGCGGCCACATTGGCTTGAAGCCACATCTATTTGAAACGCATTTACATAACCTGTGACCTACTTTCTGCCTCTGGGTATACAGTCGTCACTCGGTATCCCTGGGGATTGGTTCCAGGGCCCCCGAGGATACCAAAATCCTAGGATGCTCAAATTCCTTAATGTGGCTTCCGAATCTGCGGGTTCCATAGCCGCAGATTCAACCAACCGCAGATCATAAACATAATACTACACATTCAGCGGTTGGTTGAAGCCACGGATGCGAAACCGCAGATACGGAGGGCCGACGGTATTCAAAAGCAAACCAGCCTTAGCCCTCACCTTTACTTCCTGGGCTGGGCATCTCTTCATCCCATTACAACACCTTACACATCATAGGTGCTCCGTACTCGACAAAGAATGAGTAGATGGACAAACACATGGAAGGATATATACGTATTTTGTCTGATGATGTGAATGCAACAACTAATGTACTGGTTTCAAAGATAAAGTAGAAATAAGGAGATTCTGCAATATAAAAATCATTACAAAATAACGGAGGTCAAATAGAGGTGTTGAGCCCACCCCCGCAAGCTAGAAGGAGACAAAAATACAAGGGGGAAAATGTTCAACTCTAAAGTAAGGTCACAGTCCACAGCTACCCATTTTTGATTTCTTAGTACATTGTACAGAGTCGGGGGAAAGAGCATGGTGCCAGAAATTCAGTAAAGTTCCGATAGCTTCATTACACAGACATAGCTTTAAAAAGTAATGAGTTTTTTACAGTCCTTATAGAACCTGCTGCTGTAGCTTCTAAATAAAGGAAGCTGAGTCTTCAGAATTTGGTCATCAACAATGGAATACCATCTGTCACTTTCAAAGACCATTTCTGCGCTATGGCCCAAGGCAAGGTTTTTTGTTTGTTTTTTCCTGTGTCCTAGACCTCCACCGTTAATTCAATAATCTGAATACAGCCTTTGTTTTAATACAACGTTCAGAGAGTTCTGTGCCTTCCTTAAGAATAGCTTGAGGCACGACCGAGATAGATTTCCGGTAAAGCTACATCGGACGAGTGCACGCATGCGCGCCAGGTGCGTTCCTGGCCCCCGGCTCCGCCACCTGCTCCAGGACTCGGGTGTCCTCCACCGGCGGTTTAGGCAGGTCCAACATGGTGGACGAGTCCTTCCTGGGATTCCCAGTCACCAACATCCAATGGTTCTTTGGCTTTTCAACTCTGTGTGAATCCAGATATGTGTGTGCAGCGACCTCTGCTTCCTTTCCAAAATAGGTACTGGGGCAAGAAAGAATTAACACTGGTTGGAAATGGAATTACAACCCTCAGTAAGCTGTTAAGTTCATCTCAAAGCACGTAATTCAACAGACTGCTATATAAAGCTCTTGGAGGGGGGAATCTCTAAAACACTATGTGTTTGCCAACAAGACTCATCCTACTTGGGCAAGGACCAGGTATATAGGATCCCATTATAGCTAAAGTCCTCTGTGGGGAAGGACCTGTATAATAGAAGGGGCTCTAATAGGAGTTTTCACACCATCAAAGTTCTATGTGGCGATATTTCGTCATCAAGGAATTTTTCTGTGCGTGGCCATCCTCTTTAAACTGAACTCCTTTGCCTATATTCACAGCCCCTGCCCTCTGGCATGGCATTTTCTTGTACCCTGCTATACAGTACCTTAAGAAAAGATGCCGGTGGGCCACCAGCCCCCGATTCGTGTGGCAGTGATTGATAAGAATTTCTGCATTTGCCTTTAAAGATAAAGAGAGTATGTTATTTGAATTATGAATTAAGGCCTCCAGTTTCCTAAAAGCAAAAATTTGGAAATATAGTATATATTCATTTATATATATATATATATATATATATATATATATATATATATATATATATATAGAGAGAGAGAGAGAGAGAGAGAGAGAGAGAGAGAGAGAATAATCTAGAACCCAAACCATAATAGATTAATAAGTACATTATTATAGATACACATATGATGAAACATTATACAATCATTTAAAGTCATATTGGAGAAGATCTTTGACAACTTGAAATATGGTCAGTAGTGTTAAGTGGAAAAAATAAGAATATTCCTAATGTCCTATATTTTTTTTTAATTAAAACTAAATTTAGAAAAAACATATGCATGGAAAAAGAAATGATAACAGTGGCTTTCTCTAGAAGATGGAACTACTGATAATCATAATATTATTTTTTGTACTTTTCTGACTTTCCATAAGTGAACATATATTGTTTATAATCAGAAAATAAAAGACATATTATTTCAAAATCTTGACTCAGGTAAGCTAAAAGCAGCGTGAGATGGGGAAAAGCAGCCCCTGACATCCGGGAACTGGCCTGGCAGCCAGGGCTCTGCCTTAGTGTTCTCCTGTGGAATATAATCAATTTCACACAGTGCCCACATCAGACAAGGCCACGTTGTGACCACGATGGGTCAAGACAAAAAGAAGACCACTTTGTGATCATGTCTGAACACAGCAAAAACATGAGCATTGTCCAAGCCACAAAATACCAAATGTCCTCCTCTCCTAGAGGATAGGAGTGATTACTCCTTCCTTACGCATGACAGCTTTGGCCGTGCTCTGGCCTGCCCTCTATAGATAAGATGTACTGAGACAGCCCTGCTTCCTGACAGATTCCAATCCAGGGCAAAGCCCCACTTCCTGAGACCCTCACTAAAATCTCCCAACCACAACCCCAATTCTATAACTTGTCCTTTCTTTCTAATTATTTTATTTTATTTTTAAAACTTTTTATTTTATATTGGAGTATAGTTGATTAACAATGTTGTGTTAGTTTCAGGTGTACAACAAACGTATTCAGTTATACATATACATGTATCTCTTCTTTTTCAAATTCTTTTCCCATTTAGGTTGTTACATAATATTGAGCAGAGTTCCCTGTGCTATACAGTAGGTCCTTGTTGGTTATCCATTTAAAAGATAGCAGACTGTGCATGTCAATCCCAAACTCCCTAACTATCCCTTCCTCCCACTCTTCCCCCCCCCACTGTAACCGTAAGTTCATTCTCTAAGTCTGTGAGTCTGTTTCTGTTTTGTAAATAAGTTCTTTTGTATCATTTCTTTTCAGATTCCGCATATAAGCGATATCGTATTTCTTCCTCTGTCTGACTTACTTCACTCAGTATGACAGTCTCTAGGCCCATCCATGTTGCTGCAAATGGCATTAATTCATTCTTTTCTAAGGCTGAGTACTATTCCATTGTATTATATGTACCACATCTTCTTTATCCGCTCCTCTGTCCATGGACATTTAGGTGGCTTTCATGTCTTGGCTATTGTAAACAGTGCTGCTATGAACACTGGGGTGCATGTATCCTTTCGGATCATGTATACCAGCCTCTTAATGAGACGCGCCACGGTTTTCCATGGTGCGCGTTCTCCATCACTGCAACAAGGAATAAAGCCGACTCATTCAACCCCAGGTGCTCCTGATGGTCTCTGACTGGAGGGTATTGACATGTGGACAGCAGCTGGACAGGTATGAAATGTCCCATTCTTCAGATGTGTCTGAATGTGGCTCAGAGACCTGCCTCGGGCTGTGGACTGAGTTGGCAACAGAGAAATGAGCTCCTGGTGCCTGAACTCCCCAACCTCTCTAACCTAATGACAGCAACAATAGAACAACCACCGTTAAATTAACAGCAATGAATGCTTGGGAGTGCTGTCTGGGCCAGGCACTTTTCTAATAAGCACTGTAAATGTAGTAACCGCTTAATCCTCACAAAACCTCGTAAGTTAGGCATCATCATCTATCACCATTTTACAGACAATGAAGCTGAGATACTGACAGTTTAAATCATGGGACTGAGAGGCAATTCCAAGGAGAGCAAAGCTTGGCAAAGACCAGTGGAAGAGAGGAAATCTGTCAAGCATGCATCATTGTGGACCACGTGTATATTCTCCGTGCTGGGAGAAAGACCCTTGCAAACCTGGGTCCGCCTGCAGAGCTCGGAAGAGAAGCCTACTGCGTCAGGTGGATTTAGAGTTGCTGGTAACTGGGGGCCCCTTCCTGGATGGCCAACTCTTTAACGCCTTCCTGGCTGTAAATCGAGTAACTCTCCCAATAATCTCCAACAACTCCTTAGTCTCCATCTGCTGGATGTCTCACAAGCAAGTAGCACAGCCTCTGGTCCTCAAAACAGCTCTGTGCCCACCAGACCTGCCTTCCCATCCAGAACTGTGCTCCTGTCCGCAGGGCCCAGGCTCCTGAGAAAATGTCCAGCAACGTGCTCACCTGTGCGTCTGCCCCACCCTGTCCTTCACTACCCCCAGATTACCCAGTCTCTTTAGAAATGAGGACTTAACAGAGGCCTGAAAGAAAGCAGTGTCATCATCCTTACAATCTCGGGGCAGTGGCTCTCAGCCTGATCTCAGGGGCAGAGCCTGGGCCTCGGTATCTTTATGAAGCTCTGTAGGTGATTCTGTGCGCCGCCAGAGTCGAGAAACACCAAGGCAGGATGCTGCCACAGGGCAAAATGGTGCCTCCCAAACTTGAGTTGGAAATGAAAAAGAGGGGCTTCCTAGCGGTCCAGTGGTTAAGACTCTGCTCTTCCACTGCAGGTGGCACAGGTTTGATTCCTGGTCAGGGAGCTAAGATCCTGCATGCTGCACGGTGCAGCCCCCCAAAAGTTTTTTTAATTTTTTAATAAAAATAAATAAATAAATATTTTTTTAAAAAAGAAAGAAATGAAAAACAGAGAGAGAGTGAAAATGTGTGAGGCATATAAGGCGTCGGAGCCCTGACAAGCCTCCATTTCACACACAGGAGTAAATCGCACCCACTTCACAGCATCTGTGCACGTCTGTCTTCCCCGGGCTGCGCTCACCAGGACGGGGAAGCCTTCATATTCCAGGCGTAGCTGGGGGTCAGGGAAGGCCGCCTGCCAGCAGTTCAGGTAGGAGTCCTCATCCGTCAGGTACACCTCCTGGAGCCAAGACCTCTTAGACGACTTCATGAGGGTCCTGTGGTCACTTGATAAATATAACTGAAAACGACAGCAAGCAGATGGACTACCTCACAGCTACCCGAGAGGCTGGACGGCCAGTGTGTTCAAAAGCAGTTTTCAAAAACCCTGTTCTTACGGATTGTACAAGAACATTCAACTTTCCTCTCCCTCAGAAAGGCCATCTCAGAGGCTGAGACCACCCGCCCTCACATCACCGGCAACTGCTTTCCCTTCCTTGGAATACCAAACCCAGCCTCCCTCTCCATCTCATGCACTCCTCCTCTTTTTTTAATTTTAATTTTAATTTTTTTAACATCTTTATCGGAGTATAATTGCTTTACAATGGTGTGTTAGTTTCTGCTTTATAACAAAGTGAATCAGTTATACATATACATATGTTCCCATATCTCCTCCCTCTTGCATCTCCCTCCCTCCCACCCTCCCTATCCCACCCCTCTAGGTGGTCACAAAGCACCAAGCTGATCTCCCTGTGCTATACGGCTGCTTCCCACTAGCTATCTATTTTACGTTTGGTAGTGTATATATGTCCATGCCACTCTCTCACTTCATCCCAGCTTCCCCTTCCCCCTCCCCATGTCCTCAAGTCCATTCTCTATGTCTTCGTCTTTATTCCTGTCCTGCCCCTACATTCTTCAGAATCTTTTTTTTTTTTTAGATTCCATATATATGTGTTAGCATACGGTATTTGTTTTTCTCCTTCTGACTTACTTCACTCTGTATGACAGACTCTAGGTCCATCCACCTCACTACAAATAACTCAATTTCGTTCCTTTTTACGGCTGAGTAATATTCCATTGTATATATGTGCCACATCTTCTTTATCCATTCATCTGCCGATGGACACTTAGGTTGCTTCCATGTCCTGGCTACTGTAAATAGTGCTGCAATGAACATTGTGGTACATGACTCTTTTTGAATTATGGTTTTCTCAGGGTATATGCCCAGTAGTGGGATTGCTGGGTCGTATGGTAGTTCTATTTTTATTTTTTTAAGGAACCTCCATACTGTTCTCCATACTGGCTATATCAATTTACCTTCCCACCAACAGTGCAAGAGGGTTCCCTTTTCTCCACACCCTCTCCAGCATTTATTGTTTGTAGATTTTTTGATGATGGCCATTCTGACCAGTGTGAGGTGATACCTCATTGTAGGCTTGATTTGCATTTCTCTAATGATTAGTGATGTTGAGCGTCTTTTCATGTGTTTGTTGGCCATCTGTGTATCTTCTTTGGAGAAATGTCTATTTAGGTCTTCTGCCCATTTTTGGATTGGGTTGTTTGTTTTTTTGATACTGAGCTGCACGAGCTGCTTGTATATTTTGGAGATTAATCCTTTGTCCATTGCTTCATTTGCAAATATTTTCTCCCATTCTGACTCCTTCTCTTTTTCAGGGCATCAGGCCTGGAGTAATATTTTATTCATTATAAATAATGTTGCATGAAACTTATTGCATGAAGTGAAGTGCTCTTAAAACCAATACCAGCACAGCTGGTATTCATACGTGAGCCTCCAAGGGGGCCTCAGCCCCTCTGGAATTGACATCCACACTTGGAACTTATGTCAGCTCTCTGGTTGCCTATAACTTCGCCAAGGAGCACCCCATCTTGCTGAAAGGTCAGTAATGTTAGTTCCTCGTTAGCCGTTTACTGATTCGCCTTCACCCTGCACCTGGAGGTCATTTCTGCATATCTTGATCGGTTTTCATTAAACACCTTTTCTATGCAAAGCTGTGTCATGAAGCGCTCTGGGGAAGGCAGAAATGAGGTACTGCCCTCAAGAAGCTTTCCGACTAACAGGAGGGATGACTGAGTATAGAAACTGGAAGCATCTGTAAGGTATGGCGTCCAGCAGGGATGCAAAGAGCTATAGGAGGGGAGAGATGGGAACACATGCTCTCCCAGGGGCTCAGGAAAGACTCCGAGGAGGAGGTGGTATCTGGGAGCCCGAGAGGATGAGCGTGGACAGGCAGGGTAGGGACATATTACAGAGGGCTTTAAATGCCACAGTGAACAGCAGCACTTAATGCAGAGGGCAATGGGGGCACCGCTACTGACTTTTCAATGGAGGTGCAAGGTGAGCAAAGCTGAGCTTTTAAAGGATTGACCTGACAGCACGCTGCCAGTATGAGATGAAGTCAGGATAGACTAAAGGGACGAAGCTATGGGGGCGTGGACTGAGGTACCGGCACTGGGAGTGCAAAGACGGGCCAAACTGCACTGTGAAGGAAGAGCCATGGGACCTGACAATAGCTAGAGCAGGATGTGGGTGGGAAAGGAAGATGGGTGCAAGATACACTGCGGCTTTGGCCCGGCTGATGGGGCGGATGACAATGCCATTCAGACCAAATGGAAAATAATGCCTATCTCAAACCACAGACATTGCTTCGTTCATACACAGAAAAACCATAAGAAAATCAGGAACAAAAATCAGGCCTCTACAAGGCCACCATCAACAGATTTTTCATAAATACCCTGAAAGAGCTTGCTAATTCAAAGACAAGAAACAGAAGAAAGAGGTATAAGAATTTGAGAAGAGATAAAATTGTCATAATTTGAAGATGAGATGACTGTCTACCTAGAAGTCCTAAGAGAAACAACTAGAATTCATAAGAGTAAGTGATTTCATCCAAGGTGAGTATAAAAATCAATGTCTATCTTCTATTTTTGCTGCAACTGTCAAAGGGACCTACCTTCAATAGCTTCCAAAATAGAAGATACCAAGGAATAACCTTGACGAGATCAGTGTCAGATCCATGTGAAGGAAAGCACAAAATTTTACTGAGAGATAGAAAAGAATAATTGAAGAAATAGAGAGACATCTCAGAAGAACAAATATTGTAAAGCTACTAAATATGTGAACTTACTTAATTTTACAATGCCAATCAAAATATCAAGTGATTTTTCCCCCCACAGGGGCAGAGGGACTTAAAAAAATTATTACTACATTTGACTGAAAGATTAATTCCTAACATAATTCAGACAAAGAAGTGTAATGATAAAGACCTAGTCCTGCAAGTCATCAGAGTGACCTGGAATAAAAATAAACAACTCCAGTTCAAAGGATCCAAACAGAAAGCCAGGTATAATAATTTAATGCATGCAGCATGTGTCAGTGAAGAAAGGAATAATTATTCAAGGAATAACACAGATATGACTGACTAGTCATTTGGGGGAAATTTAGATGTTCACATCAAGGCCTCTATCAAAATAAATCCCGAGTGGTTGAAAGAATAAACTTAAGCAACAGTTCAAGTTTAGACATCTAAAAATTAATACAAGTCATTCTTTTTATCATATCTTTGGAGCAGACTTCAAAGGCTCTGAGCAATGGAAAGAATTACAGAGAAAAGCACTGATAGATTTTACTTAAAAATAGATGAGGACAACTACAATTTAAAAGCCAAGTTAGCAAATGAGAGGAAATATTAGCAACAAGCATGGCAAATTTTTATAATCTGTGGAAGAGCAGACATTTAAGCCCAAGTCAATAAACAGGCAAAGAACAGATGATTTAGGGGAAAGAGAAGGAGAGAAGAGATGGAAGGGAGAGGTGGGAAAAGGAGGTAAAAGAAAGAAAGAGAGAAACAAAAAGAGCAAAGAAAAAAGATAATATCTAAGTGTTGTAATGCTTGTAATTTCCCCTATATTTTAAGATTTTCCCTTTATAAAATAAGCTAAAATGTTAGTAGGGCTACTCTCTGGATGAGAGAGTGATGATTTACTTCCTCTTTCAACAACTGGGTATTTCCTCTAATTTTCGCATTTAAAATCAGGCTGCAGCTTACCATCTATGGTGCGTCAGAATTTAATTGCCAGCATTCATTTCTTCGTAGTATGAAAATGATAATGATGCTGCTGGTGATGATGATGCCACATCATACAGTAATGGAATCTTTGATTCAATGAAAAATGTTATATATAATACCAGCTCTGCCACTTAGTAGCCAAGTGACTTGGAGCGACGTCACTTAACTGGCTGTGCCTCGGTTTCCCCATCAGTAAAACAGGGGTAAAATAGTCCCTACTTTAAAGACTTGTTGGGGGCAATAAATGAGTTAACATATGTGAAGCTCTTAAACAGTAAGTAAATAATCTCCATTTTATAGAAAGACTCAAAAAGGTTAAGTAACTTACCCAAAGTCCCAACCCTTAGGTATGCATCTCAGCTGGAATTCAAATCCATATTTATCTGTTCTATTACACTGCCTAATTCCCAAGGTAGAGGTAAAGATCAAAGACTTATGCTCCCCGATTTATGCAAATGTGTTAGCATTGGTGACATTAAACAGCTGTCAGATTATTACATAATCTGATCATTTAACTTACAAGTGGAGGTGGTATAAATTTTTGCTTTTTACCAGCTGCATTGCAAAGAGGTTTTTTTTTTCCCCTTACTCTTTAGCTTTTAAGGATGTATTTTTGTAATTCGTGAGGTTAGAAGGAAGGAATTGGCCCCAGAATGCCTTGGAAAAGCTGCAGGCTGACACCATAATGAGGCCAGAGATGGAGCCCATGCCCATAGAGTTCTCTGTCCACTTCAGTAAGTAGCCATTAGCCCACATGGAAACAAAAATGACTGGTCCAAAGTAGACGTGCAGTATTACGACTTACCATTCTGTCTGCAAATCCTCCTGCTATCCCGAGGCGAAAGTTCTGCCCGTATCTAAGGACCTGACCAATGACCTCTCCAGCTGCACTGTCAGTGGAGAATTAATATAATGTAAATTCTGTGTATTAGGATCATTCTACAGCTCTATTTTTTGTGTATGCACTTTGGTTTATAATTTTCTTAGTAATGTCTATTCATGTACTATAACTGAAATAAGTCACTTACCAAAAGGTCTTTTCTTTTGGCCTTGAAGTCTTGCTGGCACTTTACTCACTGTCTTCCAGCACACTCGGAACACACAGTGTTCCCACTTTGTGAGCCTAGGGTGGACTGATCAAGTCACACTGTCCTACACTAATGAATTGGTCCAAGTCCACTGACATCTTTTTTTAATTGAAGTACAATTGATATATAATCTTATATTTACTTTTAAGTGTATACATCATGATTTGATATTTATACACATTAGGAGATGATCACAATAAATCTACTTACCATCTGTTGCCATTTAAAATTACTATGATATTACTGACTATATTCCCTATTCTATATATGACATCCCCATACACTGACAACTTTAGAGAGAAGCAAGGTAACAAATTTGTAGACATTTAATACACTCTTCCCTCTTAATCTTCCAGGAAACAGAAATTGTGACCAATTTTTAGCTGTTTTAACATAAATTATGTGTATTCAAAAACTCTAAAGACTTAAAGAGCTAGTTATATCCCTGTCATATAAACTTGCTATCATAGTTTAGTAACAAACTGAAAGCAATGACTTTTAATTGTAATTATGTATCTATTCTCTAAGGATTTAAATGCTCATCTCCAAAAATTCAAGTACATTTTTAGTGGACAATTAATTTTAAAACAGCAAATCCCCATGTACTGCTACCTTGCATTTAACTATATATTTCTGATGTAGAAATAACAGAGTAGCATTAAAAACAATGAAAGCACTCAAATGAGCTCAAAGCCTTAAGAAATGTTATTAGGAAAACCCACTTGGCTTCTGGGCAGATTCTGAATTTAATTCCCTGGATCCAATACTTTTGAATTAAGCATTTTGAATTGAATTCAAATTATCCATTATCCTGATGTGAACTGAAATCAAATTACCCATTATCCTGATGTTTAAGGTAACAGGATTGTCAAGGCCCCTAGACAATCATTCTCAAGATAAGAAAGCAAGATGAGAATCACAGAGAATATTCACATAACCTTTGCCTCCAATCAGCACTGCTCTAATCCCAGGGCATCCTTAAACTGCAGGTGAAAACAGATATTTATGATGAAAATGAGCCTAAATTAAAGTATCTTTACCACAAAACGGTGAAAGTGTTTCTGCCAACCGGAATCTTGGTTTGAGCTGCGCTCAGGCCACAGGGCACCTCTAATTCGTCACTCAGATGGGCTTTAATTTCATCTGGAGTCATACACAAGCTCAGGTCCCCGCCCAGAAACAGATAAGCTTCTGTCTCAGGGTGGTCAGGATTCACAAGCATCACTTTGTCGCCATAGTGAATGTATCCGTCTTCAGATATGGAAAGCTGCATCTACAATTTAAATAGGAGTTTTTCAGATAAACCATGCAATTCCTTCACAGCCAGTGCCGAGGCCACTGCAGATGTACCCTCTATTTTAAGAAGGGATTGACTTGAATTTCCTGAAATCTTTCTTCTTCCTTTTCCTGCCACCAATCTGCTCCTAATTTGCCAAATCAATGCCCCTGATAATCCCAAACGAAGTAAAATAAAGCTGATGAAAAATTACATGGGTTGATTCCATTATTAATTTATTCAACATACCTAGAAATTTTCTTGAGCACCAACTAAAGGGCATTTTACTCGTGCCTGTATCAATCTATTCATTTCTTAATTTGGAAAATGCAGGTGAACAAAATTAATAGCAAACTTCTCATGTTTCTACAATCTTAGGGAATTTTAAACATTGCAGTTCTCTAAAGAGAAGAATTGGTATTTTCCAAATGACAACTCACTTATGGAATTTTTGCTTGCTTAACATATTCTCACATTTAATTTGACAGACTTTTGAAAACAACACTTGAATTTCAAATTACCGGTCTCAAAAGATTCTCTTTCAGTCTTCTGTTTCTCTGTATGAGAAGTTGTCCCTTGTCCTTCTTTGCTAAGAAGTCTTTCATGAGCTCCTGGTTAAAGAGAAAAATGAATGAAACCCAAAGGGTCAACAATAGTCCCGAATAATAGAGATACTGAGAGCTTTTAGGTCCAAAGCACAAGTTGTAAAAGCAAAATTTGAGAACGTAAAAAGAAATGTGAGCATGATGGGAATGGGGGACTTTTTTAGCATTACTTTATTTTTTATTTCATTGTGGAATGTTTAGAAAAATGAGAAAGACACAAAAAAGAAACATCACCTATAATTACTCCAACCAGTGACAATGATGAGTAACATTTGGAGGTCATATATCCCCTCCTACTGAGGTCTCTGCGAGTTGTATGATGATGGACACCGAAAGTGTCTCCCCACCCAACTGGTTCCATAAAAGGATGGTGCCCAGGGTCTTGTTAAGACCGCCATAGGACAATTCAGGGCAATGAGTATAAGGTCAGTAAAAGGGATGCTACGGGGACACTCAGGAGGGAATGTGGGACAAGGTGGGGGATGGGGGCAGTATTTCTGCTTACAGTCTACCTGCTCACCTGGACCGCGGCTTCGGAGACTGTAAGTCTCTGCGGAACAGAGGGAATTTAGTGGGGCTCTAGACTAAGGCAGAGACACAGGCAGGGGCCTTGAGAGTTTGGGAGGCCAAGAGACGCGCGCAAAGAGTAGAAGGGCGTGAGACCTGCGGGTCAGCCAGTGAGATTCTTGGGGCGTTCGGAGGGAGTTGGGATTTTAGGGACATTGGGTGTGTGCTGGGTGCGAAAGGAGGCTTGGGATGCTCTAAGTAGGGGCCCGAACTTAGGCCAGGCGTGGGAGTCCCCGGGCAGTGGGTGGGCCGTGCCCGGCCACTGCCTCCGTACCTCCTCCAGGTAGACGTCCTCGTTCCAGTTGCCCATCCGGACTCCTGGACCGTACAGGTTCTGAGCCATCGTCCCCTGCTCTCCCACGAACAAGCTTCCGGGGCACAGAGCCTGTGTTAGCCTCCCCGTCGCCATGACGACCCGGCCCCCTGCGATTGGCCAAGGTCCGGGACCCTGCTAGCCAATAAGTGACGACACACGAGTTGCGCTGGGCTCTGGTGCGGCCCCATCCCAGGGGCTGTCACCGCCCCACCTCCACCCCCGCCACCCCGCGCCTCACTTCCCCTCTTGGGTTTTTCTCGAGTTTAATTGCAAAGCAGGCAAGAGAAAAAACTCGAGCCTACAGACCTCACTGTCCTAAATGCTCGCTAGAGAGAAATTTTAAACTTTTTTTTCTTTTAGAATCTAAACGAAAATTGCTTTTAAGTAGAGTATCCCTTGCTTTGGGGGGCAGCAAAGAGGAGCTTTGAAATGGAAGCATAGCTTGCTTGCAGCCTACTTTTATTATCAGCAAGCAGCCATTTCATCCTAATCATAATACAAGCTCAATGTAGAAATTTGGAAACCAAAATAATATAGAAAGAAGGTGGAAGAGAAAATTACTCAAAATTTTCACTGCCTCCAAAGTAAGAAATATGTCATGCCAGCCTATTTGTGTTTATATTCTTCTGAGGCGGTTCTTGTTTTCACAGACTTTACAGCATTCCTCCTCCCTCCCCCAGATACCAAGTGCAAGGAGAAGCCTACGATTTGCAAGAAGTCTTGATAAAACCGGAATATGCCAGAGCCAACATTTTTTAAACAAAATATAATTTGATGAGTAGGAAGGGTAAAGAGGTACTGCAGGACTCCCCAGGGCTTGATGCTGATTGAATGCATTCAGTAATTCACCTTTATTTAGTGTCTACTAAGAGAGGACAGAAATGAAAGACACAGGGACCTTTCTTCCCTTCAGCAACCTCAGTCTAAAAGAGAAGAGAGTTCAGGAAAACAAATTACTTCAGAAAGAATGGAATGAGTGCAATTAAGGATGTGCCAATGAAGGGCCACAGGCACTTAAAGATTCATTTCTGCCTTGGGGGATGGTGAGAATGAGAGTAAGGAGATCTATGGGTGGTGACTGAGGGAAGGGGGACTTTGGAGATGAACTTGGATTTGAGCTGGCAGGCTGCAGCTTGGGATACAAATAGGAATATTCTCACACATTGGTGAATCCATGAGCTTTTTCAGTACAGCACCACATGCTAGGATCCTTCAAAAGGATAAATGGGACAAAGAAGGTAGGTCAGATATTATACCACTAACTGCACTTGATAAATCAAGTAACTGAGACTCAAAGATGCTAGTGGCTTATCCAAGTTCAAACTGCTAACAGTTGCTCAAAGCAAGGACTTAACTCAGATTTTCTGACTCCAAAGTCCATGTTTTTTCTCTTTGTTTCCATATTCCCTGTAAAATTGGGAATATGATAAGGCAACTTTCGTCTCCATATGATTTATTAAGGTTCTAATGATTCGGTTATTTGCTTAAGTCCTTACACCAAGACAGCTTTGCTCTCACCTATTTTCTTTGTGCTATCATGGTCAAGTACTGTACACTTCTGTACATTACAGGATCAACAATACAATTACATACATGTTGCTTTATGCAATTGCTTCTTAAATCAGTCAGGACTAAAAATGTGCAATTATACTCTTTTGTAAATTACATACATAATTATCTTTATTTTTTCATGTGGATACCAATTACAGCCTGGTATTACTCGCTTTCCACCTGAAGAGTCTCTTGGTATTTCTTGTAAAGCAGGTCTGCTATAACAACACATTCTCTCAGTTTTTACCTGTCTGCCTATTTCACCTTCATCCTTGTAATATAGTTTTACTGGGTATAAGACTCTTGATTACAGTTTTTTCTTTTAACACTTCAGATATGCCCTCCTTCTGCCTTCTGGCCTCCATTGTCTCTAAGAAGAAGTCCATGATTAATCTTATTGGGGTTCCCTTGTTTGTCTACTAAGTGTGTTGTAAAGCCCCTTGCTGCTTTCCAGATGTTCTCTTTGTCTTTCAACATTTTGACCATGGTCTGAGAGGCACTCTCTTTGCATTTATCCTATTTGGAATTTGTTGAGCTTCTTGGGTGGGTAGATCACTGTTTTATTTAAATAGAATTTGGGATTTGCCATTCTTTCTTTGAATATTATTCTGCTCCCTTTCTCTCTTTCCTCTTCTTCCAGAACTCCTTATTGTTGGTGCACTTAATAATGTCCTTGTTTCTGTAAAGGCCATATTCACTTTTCTTCCTTCTTTTTTCTCTCTGTTCTTGAAATTGCATGAAATTTCTATTGATTTACCTTCAAGCTTGCTTATTTCTTCTTCTGCCAGCTCAAATCTACTATTCCATCTATCTGGAGAATTTTTCATTTTGGTTATGATACTTCTCAACTCCAGAATCTCCACTTACCTCTTTTTTTAAAAATCCTTTCTCTATTGATATTCTATATCTGAGGAGGCATTGTCATCATACCTTCCTTAAATTCATTAACCTTGGTTTCTCTTAGTTTGTTGAACATGTTTATAATAACTGCTTTCAAGTCTTTGTCTACTAAGTCCAACATTTGGGCCCTCTCAAAGCCTGTTATTTTCCCTGTGGATGGATCACATGCTCCTGTTTATTTGCAGGTCTCACAATTTTTTGTTGAAACCTGAACATTTTAGGTAACATATTGTAGGAACTCTGGGTACTGATTCCCCACCCACAGTGCCTGTTGTTGTTGTTTGCTTATCCACTTGTGTATCTGTTTAGTGACTTTGGCTAGACTTGTTAGGTAAGGTCTCTTCCCCAACAGGGTGCAGCCCTCTGATGTCACTCTTCAGGGGTATAGCCCTGAACATGCACAAGGTCCCCTGGCCCCCTAAATAAATCTTAATATGATAAAGTAACAAATAAGCATCTCACAACTTACAACACAGGTGGATTTAAAAGCCAGATGATAATAACAAAATTATAAACACATACAAGGAGTTTGGTTTTTTTTTCCATATTATGATTTTTTTTTTATTGAGAATATCTGAAACATCACCATTAGCTACTATTTTGTAATCATTTGCAATGTTTTTTTTAAACCGAGTATCATCAATAATTATCAAGAGAATATATTTATTCAGTTTAGTGCTAAATTTATCCATATATTTTTTTCCTCATGTTTAAAAAACATAAAGGCATAGTGCACTTAAAACTCTATTCCTTAAATGCTATTGATCCATTTTTTATGAGACGACTTATAATTTACTTATGGCTGTGTGGTTTTTTTTTTTTTTAACATCTTTATTGGGGTATAATTGCTTTACAATGGTGTGTTAGTTTCTGCTTTGTAACAGAGTGAATCAGCTATCCGCATACATATGTTCCCATATCTCTTCCCTCTTTGTCTCCCTCCCTCCCACCCTCCCTATCCCACCCCTCCAGGCAGCCACATAGAACCGAGCCGGTATCCCTGTGCCATGCGGCTGCTTCCCACTGGCTATCTACCTTACGTTTGTTAGTATATATATGTCCATGTCTCTCTCTCGCCCTATTACACCTCACCCTTCCCCCTCCCCATATCCTCAAGTCTGTTCTCTAGTAAGGCTGTGCCTTTATTCCTGTTTTACCCCTAGTTTCTTCATAACATTTTTTTTTCTTAAATTCCATATATATGTGTTAGCACACGGTATTTGTCCTTCTCTTTCTGACTTACTTCACTCTGTATGACAGACTCTAGGTCTATCCACCTCATTACAAATAGCTCAATTTTGTTTCTTTTTATGGCTGAGTAATATTCCATTGTATATATGTGCCACATCTTCTTTATCCATTCATCCGACGATGGGCACTTAGGCTGTTTCCATCTCCGGGCTATTGTAAATAGAGCTGCAGTGAACATTTTGGTACATGACTCTTTTTGAATTCTGGTTTCCTCAGGGTATATGCCTAGTAGTGGGATTGCTGGGTCATATGGTAGTTCTATTTGTAGTTTTTTAAGGAACCTCCATACTGTTCTCCATAGTGGCTGAACCAATTCACATTCCCACCAGCAGTGCAAGAGTGTTCCCTTTTCTCCACACCCTCTCCAGCATTTATTGTTTCTAGATTTTTTGATGATGGCCATTCTGACTGGTGTGAGATGATATCTCATTGTAGTTTTGATTTGCATTTCTCTAATGATTAATGATGTTGAGCATTCTTTCATGTACAAGCAGTTTTTTGAAAGAGCTTTTTCCTAATTTTTACTTTTATTTTTGAAAAATTATGAAATCTTTATTTTATTGCAATTATAGAATATTTTAAATTTATATTCTTCCAAACTGCTCAAAGCTAATAGTAAAACAGAAATGCACACATACATTGCTAGACTCTGAGTAATTTACTCAGTTCATGGTGTAGCAATAAATATCTGTTTAAATTCGGACACCATTCCCTCCCTTTTAGAATTATTATAATTTTGACATAAACCAGGTATATACTGGAAAACTCATTTGCTACTTTTCTTTCATCATTTGTTGAGGCTCTTGGAAAAAGTTAATTGGAGCCTTTTGTTACTTACTTGTGAAACATCTGTCAGGAAAACAAAAGCCAAAGAAATACTTGGACAGGATCATTTTTAGAAAAGAAGAGATCATTTTTAGAACTTTTAGGATAAAGTTCAGATATTGAGAAAGAGAAATGAGAGTTATAATCTTAGAAGCAAGTAACTTCCAGGCTGCAGAAAATAAGTTTTCAAGTCCTCATGGGACAAGAAACATTGTAAGTGATCACTGTGTCCTAAAGGAAAAAAATGGGATTGAAGTTCCTTTCACTCAGCTTATGCAACCATTTTTGTCTCCGAGCCTCAGCATCTTCATCAATAAAAACGAGTTAAGGATAATTTTAGAGCTAACTCTCTAGGAAGCATTTCCAAAATACTCTGTGTATGTTAACAGCTGTGGAGAGGGAAA